TTCTTAAACATGATTAGATCTGTGATTTACATAGTTATTTAAAACATAAACATTGTTTCCCTTACATCAAAACTATATTTTTAGTGTAATTTTACCAACTTTAGATGACATGTGTAAGATTTTGTAGGCTTAGCAAAAGGCTTCAATAGTTTAAATTTCTTTGTTTAATATCCACTATATTCTTATGACCCATAAAGCTTATGTGACTTGATATTTAAAAAAAATTAAAACCAGTATGAAACAAATGTCACTCTAACATTTTGTTTGCCTTCATTTTGATGGGTTTGCATAAGAATCTGACCGATCTCTTTGGTAGTTCCCTTATTTTTAGAAGGCTTTAAAATTTATATAAAAATACCTTATACAAAAAGTGAGTGCTAAATATACTTAAGAATAAATACAAATACTCTACACATAAATTAAATGTGCTGCAATTACTAATTCATGGTCAGAGCTACAAGTTACATTTCAACATACTGGTAAATTACACATACAATTATTGTTTTTCCAGTAGGTTCAGTAAGATATACTAGAGATTTTTAGATAGCCATGTTATTCCCCTCTCCTTTTTAAATGGCTATTTTTGTATTAAATAAACTAGTCTCTGACACAGAAAGCTTCAAAAGGAGGTACAATGAGGTTACCGTTAAACTGTGCTCTTGAACCAATACTAAGTGTTCAATAGTGTTTAGAGGAGTGGGTTAGAAACCATTGCCAATGGTTATGCTTGCATCATGTAAAGTTACTCCAGTGAAATTGCTCTGTCATCTGATAAATATGTGGGATTCCCACTGAAGTCAACGGGACTTTTGCCATTGACTTCAATGGGGCCAGATTTTTACCCCTGAAGTAAGAAAACACAAGGATGTAAAATGGTCCAAGCTGAAGGATTCCCATAAAAATAACAATACCTTCTTCCCCTGAGAATGTCTCAAGGTTTTGGAGTCTGTGTACACACCCAAATCCAAAAAGAAAGTTCACCTCCATCCTGCATAAAAACAATTTAATCATGCCTGTGTGGCTGAAACCAACCTGCATTATAGCTATATTACTAATATATGTTACTACCATGTACATCTGTAATATGTTGAACCAAACAATGATATAACACAGTTGGCACAATTATTCCCCCACGCAGCATATTTAGCTATACAGATGACCCATATAATATTTGGCCAATATTGATCTACAATCAATGCTCAAAGTGGGGAACTATTGTGGAGCTGCAGCACAAGTCTGAACTAAGAAGCAGGATGTAGGGGTATGGACAAAGGTGAAAGTAAGCCGTCCAGTCTGGCGTACCAGTAAGAGTCGGTACACCGCCAACTGTACCAGCAGGTCCCTGGGCTGTTCCGTGGGCTGGGACTAGGAGTAGTGGGGAAGTGGCTAAACAGTAGACTGTAGTGGCTTGACAGGGACTACAGAGACAGGGACAGCTACTGTAGTGGCTTGACAGGGACTACAGAGACATCCCGTGGAAGTGGGGAAGCACAGAGTGCAGCACAGCCAGAGGGCTGTATCACAAAGAGGACACCTGGACGTGACATGGTTCCCTGGAGCAGAAGTGAAGAGGGTGCACTGGCTAGAAGAGCTGATCCCTGGGATATCCAGCTGGGGATGCCACAGTGGTGAGTCGCACCCTGTCACACAGGGTAATACAGAGGCAGGAGAGGTACTCCAGATCCATTCAGTGAGGAGACATCTTGTTGAACAGGTGTATTTTTCATGAAAAATTAGATCTTTGTTCTGTAAAGCCAGCCAGCTTTACAACTGACTGTGTTTTGGGGGAAAAACCTACTTTATTAGACAGAAAGGGTAACTATTTATAAGTGTAGGCCCTCGTTAGTGTTTTATGACATTGTTTGTATTGTAACTATTTGTTTCCATCACTTTCTCTTATTTCTAACAGAATCTCTATTCTTTCTTAAATAAACTTTCTTTTGTATCAGTACAAGTCCTGTGTGTTATACAAGAGTGGTGGTTTAAGGTAAACTGGGGTAACGCTGTTCCTTTGGGAGCAGAAGATCTGAGCTTTCTGTGAGTAGCCAGTGTCAGCGGTTGGCTATCATAGGGGAATGCTTCAAGGAGACTGGGGGAGGGGGCACCTCAACCTGCAAGGCAAAGACAGAGCTCACATAGCCCGGAGGAGAGTGCTTGAGTGGCTGAGAGGCTGGTGGTGTTAGGTAGCTAACACCCAGTTACCACAGGCAAGACTTCCTCCAGCTAGAAAGAGGGGTAACAAGGTGACTCACAGTCTTGTTACCCTGAGAACCATCACACCCTGAAAGGAGAGTCATTTTTGAAGTTTGGCTGGAAGGCTGAACTCACCTAACCAAGCAGAACTCACCTAACCAACCACCTCTTGTGGTAGTAGCTACCCCTGTACAATGATAAATAGGTAAATTACTGCTTGCAGGGGGAGTCAAATATTAAACAATATAGATTTTAAGAGTGGTCTTTCAAAAGACAGAGAAGAAGAGAAATACAGTAACTCCTCACTTAACGTTGTAGTTATGTTCTTGAAAAATGCGACTTTAAGCGAAATGATGTTAAGCTAATCCAATTTCCCCATAACAATTAATGTAAATGGGGGGGGGGGGTTAGGTTCCAGGGAAATTTCTTTTTGCCAGACAAAAGACTACACACACACACAATACAGGTTTTAAACAAACAATTTAATACTGTACACAGTGATGATGATTGTGAAACTTGGTTGAGGTGATGGAGTCAGAGGGTGGGATATTTCCCAGGGAATGCCTTACTGCTAAATGATGAATTAGCAATTGGCTGAGCCCTCAAGGGTTAACTCATTGTTGTTAATGTAGCCTCACACTCTACAAGGCAGCACGAATGGAAGGAGGGGAGACAGCATGGCAGACAGAGACACACACCCTGTGTGTGAGAGAGAGAGATGCGCATTTCCGCTTTAAGTACACCGACACCACTCTTAAGTACACTACCTTGTTAAGTTAATCAGCAAGCTGAGACCGCAGCAGCTGCTGCCAGGAAGCTCCCTCCATCCTGAGCCCTGTCGTGTGTCCCCCCTGCTCTATGGAGATGGTGTAAGCGGGGTGCAGGAGCAGGGGGGCGGGGAACACCCTGACATTAGCCCCCCTCTTCTCCCTCCCCCCCCCCCAGCAAGCAGGAGGCTCTGGAGAACAGCTCCAAGGCAGAAGGCAGGAGCAGCACATGGCAGTGAGGAAAGGGACAGCTGAACTGCTGGCAACTGATAGCCTGCTGGGCAGCTGCTGCACAGGGAACTTAGGGGAGCGGGGAGCTGATACTGGGGCTGGCGGTCCACCCTGGTTCCAAGCCCCCACCAACTAGCAGCAACAGGATGCTCTTCCTGCAAGCAGTGGACAAAGCAGGCGGCTGCCAAAAGACATTATAAGGGAGCATTGCACAACTTTAAACGAGCATGTTCTCTAATTGATCAGCAACGTAACAACGAAACAACATTAACCGGGATGACTTTAAGTGAGGAGTTACTGTATTATAACACTGTTCTTCAGATGTACTAAGACATACTGACTAAGAATCTGTATGAAGGTTCAAAATGCTGTGTAAAGACAAAGTGGAGAGACCAACTGGTTGGATATTGTCACTGGAGTGTGACAGGGATGCATCTTAACACCTCTCCTCTTCTGCACTGTGATGGATTATGTGGTATGAAAAGCAACATCAAAGGAAGATACAGGAATTATATGGAGTAAAGGAAAACTTCAAAATCTCAATTTTCCAGATGACATTGCTCCATTGGACATAGAAGATGATACTATGTAAAAGACCACTATTAATATCAAATGTGAGACCACCGAAGTAGGATTAAGAATAAGCCAAAAGAAAATGAAAGTCATCGAAAGACAAGTCGGTAATGATAGTGCCTAAGTGATCAACAGTGAAGAATATGGCATGGTTAATGAGTTTTTGTGTATCTTGGAAGTACAATTAGTTCTAATGGCCGACTCCATAAGGAGGTGAAAGCAAGAACTGGGAAGACAAATGGAGCCTTTTTGAGACTGGCAAATATCTGAAGAAAAAAGGAGACTGATACAAGAACCAAGATAAAGTTATACAATGCCGTTGTGATACCCACATTATTACATGCTTCTGAAACTTGGCAAATGCTAGGAACCCAAAACAGAAAACTTAAAGCATTCCAGCAGAGAGGCTTGTGAAGAATACTTTGTGTCCACTGGTGGGATAAAGTAACTGTTGCTGATGTGTTACAAAGGACTGGCCAGCAAGCTGTAGAGAGACTGATGTGAGACAGAAGGCTGAAGTGGTTTGCCCATGTAGAGCCCTGTTTTGCGGTTAGAATAGAGCTCTAGATTTGTTTAATAGGTTCTATCTTCTCTTCAAAATAAAAAAATTCTCTTCTTGCATAATATCACTAACAAGATGAGAGGAATTCCTTGACATTCATTACTAAGACACTGATCCTAAAAACACTTATGGTTATGTAAAAAGAAAAGGAGTACTTGTGGCACCTTAGAGACTAACCAATTTATTTGAGCATGAGCTTTCGTGAGCCACAGCTCACTTCATCAGATGTGTACCGTGGAAACTGCAGCAGACTTTATATACACACAGAGAATATGAAACAATACCTCCTCCCACCCCACTGTCCTGCTGGTAATAGCTTATCTAAAGTGATCAGCAGGTGGGCCATTTCCAGCACAAATCCAGGTTTTCTCACCCTCCACCCCCCCACACAAATTCACTCTCCTGCTGGTGCTAGCCCATCCAAAGTGACAACTCTTTACATAATCAAGTCGGGCTATTTCCTGCATAGATCCAGGTTTTCTCACTTCCCCCCCACCCCCAAACACACACAAACTCACTCTCCTGCTGGTAATAGCTCATCTAAACTGACCACTCTCCAAGTTTAAATCCAAGTTAAACCAGAATATCTGGGGGGGGGGGGGGGTAGGAAAAAACAAGAGGAAACAGGCTACCTTGCATAATGACTTAGCCACTCCCAGTCTCTATTTAAGCCTAAATTAATAGTATCCAATTTGCAAATGAATTCCAATTCAGCAGTTTGCCCGTTGCCAATTGTGCCCACATATCTATTCAGGGGACACCATCACAGGGCCTAATAACATCAGCCACACTATCAGAGGCTCGTTCACCTGCACATCCACCAATGTGATATATGCCATCATGTGCCAGCAATGCCCCTCTGCCATGTACATTGGTCAAACTGGACAGTCTCTACGTAAAAGAATAAATGGACACAAATCAGATGTCAAGAATTCTAACATTCATAAACCAGTCGGAGAACACTTCAATCTCTCTGGTCACGCAATCACAGACATGAAGGTCGCTATCTTAAAACAAAAAAACTTCAAATCCAGACTCCAGCGAGAAACTGCTGAATTGGAATTCATTTGCAAATTGGATACTATTAATTTAGGCTTAAATAGAGACTGGGAGTGGCTAAGTCATTATGCAAGGTAGCCTGTTTCCTCTTGTTTTTTCCTACCCCCCCCCAGATATTCTGGTTTAACTTGGATTTAAACTTGGAGAGTGGTCAGTTTAGATGAGCTATTACCAGCAGGAGAGTGAGTTTGTGTGTGTTTGGGGGTGGGGGGGAAGTGAGAAAACCTGGATCTATGCAGGAAATAGCCCGACTTGATTATGTAAAGAGTTGTCACTTTGGATGGGCTAGCACCAGCAGGAGAGTGAATTTGTGTGGGGGGGTGGAGGGTGAGAAAACCTGGATTTGTGCTGGAAATGGCCCACCTGCTGATCACTTTAGATAAGCTATTACCAGCAGGACAGTGGGGTGGGAGGAGGTATTGTTTCATATTCTCTGTGTGTATATAAAGTCTGCTGCAGTTTCCACGGTACACATCTGATGAAGTGAGCTGTGGCTCACGAAAGCTCATGCTCAAATAAATTGGTTAGTCTCTAAGGTGCCACAAGTACTCCTTTTCTTATGGTTATGTGTGGCTTATTGACCTCAATGAGACTATTCACATACACAGAATTAAGCATGTGTTTCCTTGTAGAACTGGGTTGCAGGGGGCCGATCCTGCACTTTTTACTTAATGTCAGTGCGGGCTTTGCCTGTGTAATGACTCAGCTAGTTATTCTCAGTTAATAGTTTCCAGGTCAGAGCTTTAACCTTCTACAGTATTTTGTTAATGGTGTTGAAGTCATGGAGACCAGTGGATTTAGCAGGATTTAGAAGATGTTCAGAAGAATTAGGTGTCTTATTAAGTGCTTTGTAGCACCCATGCTATGAATTCAGCTTTCAATCTCTTTCTCCAGTTTTTAAAAATAGAAGAATGGAAATTATGTCCTTTATAATCTGGTCTCAGTCCTTCAGGAATATAAGCTCTGCCTTGTGTAAGGGGCAAGCACCATGAGATGGATTCCATACTTTTTTAAAGTGATACCATAAACAGAGATTATTAATCTTCAGAGGTTACAAATACAGCATTATAACATTACTCCAGGTTCTAGAATAAGCCATGAGGGATAAAACTCATGTTTAAGTGATAAATGTCCTTTATAACTAGCACTAGTGGCAACAGAAATTAAGAAATATATCTACAAGGTCAATGGTTTGTTTGAATTGAATCTCTTAAATGTTTTTAATGGGCAATGGGCTCTCATACTAATATTATGGAGTGAAATGCATGGATTAAATATGAAGAACACTAAAACAATGACAAGTAGAACACTTTCTTGTATTAGGCTTATATTTACAAAATACTATGCTATACTACTGATATGTACAGTATACACATCACACATTTTATGAAGTCTGTCTCCAAGTTTACATGTACCTATTCATGTAAGTGCTTTATATATTGTGTTTGTGGTTTGAATTCTAACTTACTCATTTCTCGACTATGTTATTTAAAGAAGGGAAAAAATTAGCAGGCCAAACTGATTTTTAAAAGAATATATACACTGTTTTTTTAAAATATCCACTATGTTTTGTACAGCATATGCCCAATTTAGATTTAGAAAATCAAAAAGAAGAATTGTGTATAAACTATCAGCCCATTGCTGGGGATCACACAAGTAAACTGTTGTATAAGAGAAGACATTTATAATAAATTATAAGATGTATGATCAATGATGTGCTGCCAATACTTTTAAAAAAGGGCTTTCACAAAAATGTCTCCTTTTAGACTGTGTCCTGGGGTGCTTGTATTGCAGACAAGAAGGCATGAGGGAGTGGAAAGTACATGTATGCTTTCGCATAACCAAGGTTATGCAACTTGCATAATTTGAAAAATAAGGGTGGAGAGGTGAAGACATTGTCCTCCCTGGGGAAATGTCTTTAAAATCCCTGACACTTACTGAAATCATTTCAAAGACCAACTCCCCACCCACAAAAGAACCCTCTTCAGAAGTATTTTTGAACCCCTGTGTTCAGAAATGGGGTGAGCTTCATCTGATAGGGTAATCGCCCCACCTGCAATTTGTTTGCAGAGTTTTAACAGCGAACTCTAACTAAAATGAATGGAAACCAGTCCACCTTTCTTGGCTTGTGTTACAAACTAGCATATGATGTATATCTGGCACATCCAAAGATGTTCAGTCAATATAGGAAGCATACCATAAGCATACATTTTCACAGGTATCTGTTCCTTTCATAACAAAGTAGGACCTTTGGTTGGTCTGCTGTTTGAAAGAAGCGGTTGACTCCCCGATTCCTTGGTTTTCTGTCCTGTTTGAGGTGAGAGTAGTGCTGGAGCAGAGAGATGATGAGCAGCCCCCTTTTGCTGAGGGAAGTGGTTAATATAGCTGGCAATCAGTAGAGTGATCTCAAGAATCTGTAACAAGAAACATACTAGAATATTTTTCCAGAAACAGATAACTTGTGTTTTGACCCTGAAGAAATAGCTAAGTTTTTAGTGAGCGACTGACATTATCTTTTTATAAAAGTTCTTATATTTTATCAAAGAAATTATAGATGGGAAAAATACTTATTAGGGTTATGGTTATCTTGCCTATCTCTCTGCCAATACAGGATTACTCCTTAGAGTAAGTACATGGAGTGTTTTGTCCTGAACAATTTTAAATGATTCAAGCAACACAGTTTCCACCGCTTCTTTAGGAGAAAGTTTTACAGACTAATACATGTCTCTTAGGGAATAATTTTACTTCATGCTGCCTAACTTTTCCTATGCAGTGTTGTATGTCTCTTGCACAAGCCTTAAAGAAGCAGTCCAGATGGGCTGACGCTCAGGTGGCTGTGGGGTTTTCTTCAAAGATCTGGGAGGCTGTGCACCATGCCTTCTCCATGGAACCGCCAAAAACCTCCCCTTTAAAGGGATGATTTGATAGAAAATCACTGTTTCTTGAACTGTTTGACATACACCTGTGCATATTTCTATGAAGAGACACAATTTTGAACTGAAGTTATATGCAGGAAACTGTGATTCTACTGGTAGGTTGTTCTGGCTTATAGAAACTAGAGTTTCACTCCTTAGTCATAGCTGAAATTCTGGTTTTATTTGTTTTGTTCATTCTGGTAGGCAATATTAGTAGTGAGAGAGAGTCTAGACTAATATTACCAAAAGAGTTCCTTAGTCCTAGAATTTTGGAGAAGTGTATAACCTTTTGGAAGGCCATCATAAAATACAGACATTGCTTTAATGGGGACCCAAACATTTTTTTAAAATTGCAGCTATACTGATTTTTAGGCACTGTATATACTTCCTGTCTTTTATCTCCCTAATTGTCCTTGTCTGTAAAGTCTGGAACTCTGGGGGAAGGGTCATTAAAACAAGAAAATTGACTTTTATGTTTTTAATTGCTTCCTCCTTTAAATTCATTATGCAAAAACTAATAACCGGAGGATGTTTTGAACAGCAGGTGCTTCACGTTGTGCATATACACAAGGGTACTTAAGTACAAAGAGGCAACAGACACTGGAAATGATTTCAGCTAGTGTACCAACCTTTGGTTTTGCCATGGCAAAAAGGAGTTTTTCATTTGGCTTGTCTTTTGACTGAGCATTGTTAACTACCAGCATAAAGTCATCTTGATAGCCTCCAAAGGTCATCAGACTTTTGTGTACATATGTAACTATTAATCGCTTTAAAGAAAGAACAAAGGAAAAAACAGTTTCATGTATACAGAAAAATACAGAGAAAAAGACTACAGTGAATACTTCTTCAAACATAATGACTCAGCTGATTTCAAAATACTGTTTTCAGCCCCTTTTGTAGAATTTTGAATCTAATTGCAAATTTTGTGCCTGTTTCCCTCAGGCCTTCATTGTGAGAGACTTCTGCTTCCATGAGTGGCCCTGTTTCTAATTAATGTAATATATATTTAGTTTAATGGTTACAATTTTTGAGTCTGGACTCAGGCACATAACTTACATGAGAAATGAAAGGCCCAATCCGACTCCCATTGAAGTCAATGTTAAGAGTCCTATTGGGAGTTCGATCAGGCTCTAAAGAAGTCGAATCTCAGGGCCCATACTTTCAAAAAGGATTTCAATCCAATCTTTGTGAGTACAAGTGATACAATTCACATTGGCAAAACCCTTTGTGCTCACAAATGGGGATAAAATCGGTGGTTTGTTCACAGAACTAATAGTGCACAAAACCTTCTGCATGGAGAGAAGCAGCACACTTTGAATTTTTGGCCTGTATTATTCAACACACAACACTGGACATGTAGCTGTTGAGTCACTGCCATTGTTGTGCTGATTCAGACCTAATATTATATCAATCAATATGGATAGTGTTTCAATATAGATATCAGAGTAGCAGCTGTGTTACTTGTTGCACCTCAGAGACTAACAAATTTATTTGAGCATAAGCTTTCGTGGGCTACAGCCCACTTCATCGGATGCACAGAATGGAACATATAGTAAGAAGGTATTTATACCTACAGAGAACATGAAAATATGTACTGTGATACAGCATGGCCAGAGGGCAGTAGGAGAGTGTTGGAAGGGAGCCTTATTTCCTGTCAAGGGAAGAAAGTTTGCTATAAATTAATTAAAGCACCTGAAGCCAATTAGAGCACCTGAAGCCAATCACATGATAAAACCCCTCTGCTTCAATCAGATAAGAGGAGGAGTTGAAGCAGAGTGGATTGGTGTTGGAGCACAGACCAGTTTGGAGGAGTTGAAGCAGAGTGGATTGATGTGGGAGTAGAGAGCCGTTTGGAGGAGCTGAAGCGGAGTGGATTGGCGTTGGAGCAGAGAGCAGTTTGGAGGGAAGCAGAGGAGAGTTTGGAGAAGTGCTGTGGTGGGCTAAGAAGACTAAGACCCTAGGTAAGGGGACACCTGCTTTGTGCAGAGGGAGGGAAGTAGCCCAGGGGAAGGAACCGCTAGTTCTAGTGGTTTACTGCTATCCCTAGGGCCCCTGGGCTGGGACCCCAATTAGAGGGCGGGCCTGGGTCCCTCCCTCTCCACTCCCCTCCTCTAGGACACTAGTGCGGCAGTTAATACCCCAGTTGAGGGGCAAGAAATGGTGCCCTGAACCACCCCCCCCGCCCCCAGAAGAGAAAGTACGAGACCCGTCATAGTAGTGCTGGCAATTTGCCACAGTACATTTTAAATTATCATGAGAAAAATATCTGTACAGTAATTTATTTTAATCTCCTGGGTACCAAACTCTTTTTTGCCCTTGTTTTTCAACTAGCAAAAAGGACCTCATCCAAACTGTAAAAGACAGGATTACCCTAACTTTTTCCCCATTACATTTTGTGTTAGGTTTGTCTGCATTTTCCAAGAAGAGGTCAGAACCTCCATAGTGAGACTGCCCTCAGCTGCACCTGTTCAATACTGCTAACATCCTACTGAGCCAGCCAGGCTGCCTGTTGGACCATCCTGCCTCATTGGCTGAGGAAACCTGCAGGCTGGTTCTGAAATTTATTAGCAGTAGCTCCCTGCTGCTCTATGCTCACACCCACAGTTTGTCTCCCTGTGTTTGTCTCTCCAAGCCCTGCTCCTGCTCTGCTCCTCCACAGCTCCAGCCCAAGGCCGGGTGCAGGACAGGTTCTGTTCCCATCCTGTTCTAGCCTCACTCCTGCCTCAGAAGAGAAGATTATTCACCTTGTGAAGTAACTGAGGTTCTTTGAGATGGTTGTCCCTGTGAGTGCTCCACTTTAGGTGTGTCTATGTGCCCTGCACTTGTAATTGGAAATCTGTAGTAGCAGTGCCTGGTTGGGTCACGCATGCACCGTCGCCGTCTCGTGCCGCCTCAGTTCCGTCTCTACCACGGAGAATCTAGCATAAAACGCCAAAGTAGAGGGGAGGAGAGAAAGTAGTGAAGCACCCATAGGGACAACCATCTCAAAGAACCTTAGTTACTGCACGGGGTGAGTAACCTTCTCTTCTTCTTTGAGGAGTGTCTCTGTGGGTGCTCCATTTTAGGTGACTATCGAGCAGTGCCTCTCCATGGAAGGGAGCGGTTTTCATAGAATCATAGAATATCAGGGTTGGAAGGGACCCCAGAAGGTCATCTAGTCCAACCCCCTGCTCAAAGCAGGACCAATTCCCAGTTAAATCATCCCAGCCAGGGCTTTGTCAAGCCTGACCTTAAAAACCTCTAAGGAAGGAGATTCTACCACCTCCCTAGGTAACGCATTCCAGTGTTTCACCACCCTCTTAGTGAAAAAGTTTTTCCTAATATCCAATCTAAACCTCCCCCACTGCAACTTGAGACCATTACTCCTCGTTCTGTCATCTGCTACCATTGAGAACAGTCTAGAGCCATCCTCTTTGGAACCCCCTTTCAGGTAGTTGAAAGCAGCTATCAAATCCCCCCTCATTCTTCTCTTCTGCAGGCTAAACAATCCCAGCTCCCTCAGCCTCTCCTCATAACTCATGTGTTCCAGTCCCCTAATCATTTTTGTTGCCCTTCGCTGGACTCTCTCCAATTTATCCACATCCTTCTTGAAGTGTGGGGCCCAAAACTGGACACAGTACTCCAGATGAGGCCTCACCAATGTCGAATAGAGGGGAACGATCACGTCCCTCGATCTGCTCGCTATGCCCCTACTTATACATCCCAAAATGCCATTGGCCTTCTTGGCAACAAGGGCACACTGCTGACTCATATCCAGCTTCTCGTCCACTGTCACCCCAGGTCCTTTTCCGCAGAACTGCTGCCTAGCCATTCGGTCCCTAGTCTGTAGCTGTGCATTGGGTTCTTCCGTCCTAAGTGCAGGACCCTGCACTTATCCTTATTGAACCTCATCAGATTTCTTTTGGCCCAATCCTCCAATTTGTCTAGGTCTTTCTGTATCCTATCCCTCCCCTCCAGCGTATCTACCACTCCTCCCAGTTTAGTATCATCCGCAAATTTGCTGAGAGTGCAATCCACACCATCCTCCAGATCATTTATGAAGATATTGAACAAAACCGGCCCCAGGACCGACCCTTGGGGTACTCCACTTGATACCGGCTGCCAACTAGATATGGAGCCATTGATCACTACCCGTTGAGCCCGACAATCTAGCCAGCTTTCTACCCACCTTGTAGTGCATTCATCCAGCCCATACTTCCTTAACTTGCTGACAAGAATACTGTGGGAGACCGTGTCAAAAGCTTTGCTAAAGTCAAGAAACAATACATCCACTGCTTTCCCTTCATCCACAGAACCAGTAATCTCATCATAAAAGGCGATTAGATTAGGTTTTGGAGTTCTGCTCATGATTGACCGTGAGTCCAAATAGAATGTCCAAAGATTACTGTTGCTCTATAGCAGATGTAGTCAATAGGCAGACCATGAGCCAAATCCGGCCCGCCAGATGCTTTAGAACAGACCCTGAAATCTTTTCATTTACTTATTATCATTACTGTTAGGGCTTTTTATTATTAGTATCTCTGGAGGCTGGACCTTGATGATACCTTTGGCCAAGAAATTTGGACCTTTACAAAAAATAATTGACTACCCCTGCTCTATAGCATAGTGCTTTGTGAATTTGTGGGCAGATGCCCAAGTTGCTGCTCTGCAAATATCCATAATGGGGACATTATTGAGAAAGGCTATGCATGTTGAAAGTGCTCTGGTAGAGTATGTGCAGGCTCCCAATGGGGCTTGTAACTGATGTTTTTCATAACAAAAGTGGATGGGTCCTGATTTCCATTTGGATAGTCTCTGTTTTGAGATGATGGCTTCCCCTTTTGATCATTCTATTAGAGACAAATAGTTTTGGTGATTTTTTTCAAAAGGCTTTTGTTCTTTCAATGTAGAAGGCTAATGCTCTTCAGATGTCCAGGGTGTGGAGTGATGCCTCTCTTGTCTGCATGCGGTTATGGAAAAAACGCAGGTAAATGGGTTGGCTTAAATGAGAAGGAGAGGCAACTTGTGGTAGAAATTTGGGGTGTGGTCTTAGGGTAACTTTAACTTTTAAAGAAAGTTGCGTACGGAGGGTGTGCCATTAGGGCACCAAGTTCTCCCACACATCGAGCAGACATAATGGTGATGAGGAAAGCCATCTTCATCGATAGATGGAGTAATGAACACGTGGCTAGCGGTTCAAACAGCATTTTTATAAATCCACATAAGACCAGGTTGAGGTCCCACACAGGGGTCCTTATTTTAGGGTAAGTGTTCTTAATGCCCTTGTGGAAGCATTTGGTTGTTGAGTGGGTGAATATGGTGACCCCATCCACCTGATTGTGGAAAGCTGTGAGAGCTGCAAGGTGTACCTTGATAGAGCTTGTGGAGAGCCCCAGTTTTTAGTTCTAATATGTAATCCAATACTCTTGGTAAACAAGAGGTTGTTGGTATGATTTGTTTGCTCTGGCACCATATGCTGAACCGTTTCCATTTATGAGTATATATCTGTCTTGTATTTGATCTATGGCTGTTCAGTAAGATGTCTTTTACTTCCTCCGAGCAGGTTGTTTCATTTTCTCTCAGCTATGGAGTAGCCATGCCTTGAGGTGAGATGGTTGGGTTGGTGGATGTGTCCCACGTCTTGGGAGAGGAGATGAGGTATTAGAGGAAGAGTTCGGGGTGGGCATGCCATAACATTTAATAGGTAAGGGAACCATGTTTTTCTGGGCCACGTAGGTGCATTAGGATGACTTTTGATTTGTCCCTCCTGATCTTGTGTGACCTGGGT